GACAACCTAATCAAGGTGAAGAAATTGATGAAGGGTTCTGTGAGTGGCTGGCAGAAACTGTGCAATCACCAGCCCTGGTTCTCATGGGGTACTTCAACTTCTCTGATAGATGCTAGAAATATAATACAGCCCAGAGGAAAGAGCCTGGGAGGTTCATGGAGCCTGTGAAAGCTGGTGTGTGAGCCTACTAGGAGAAGTGACCCATTAGACCTGCTGTACACGAATTGAGAAGGACTGGTGGGAGGTGTGAAGGTGAGAAGCTATCTTAGACAGCATGACCACAAAATGGCGGTGTTCTCAATCCTTGTTGAAGTCAGGAGGGCGATCAGCAAAGCTTCTGCCTTGGATTTCCAGAGGGCTGACTTTGAACTCTTCAGGTCACAAGTAGGGAAAATCCCTTGGGATTCAGTCCTGAAGGGGTCCAGGAAGGCTGCATACTTCTTAAGAGGGAAGTCTTACAGGTGCCACAAGATGAGCCATGGTGAAGGAGACCAGTGTGGATGAACAGGGAACTCTGACTGAGACTCTGGGAGAAAAAGAGAGTCCACCTCCTGCGGAAGAAAGGATGGGCAACTCAGGGAGGATCTAGATTGGATCCACCCAAAGGTGCTGAGGGAGCTGGCAAAGGTCATAGCCAAGCCACTTTCCACCGTCTTTCCGAGTCTCTGGCCAACTGGAGAGGTCCCGGAGTTTTCGAGGCTTGCCCATGTGACTCCTATCTACAAGAAAGGTCATAAGGATGATCAGGGGAACCAGGCCTATCAGTCTGGCCTTGGTGCCCAGGAAGGTTATGGAGCAGATTATCTTGAGTGAGATCATCTGGCATATGCAAGATAACCAGGGGTCAGGCCCTGCCAGCATGGGTTCATGAAAGGCAGGTTCTGTTTGACCAACCTTATCTCCTTCTATGATCAGGTGATCAGCTTAGAGGATAAGGGAAATGCTGTTGACATAGTCTACCTAGACTTCAGCAAAGCCTTTTCTGTGTGTCCCAGGGTATTCTGCTGGAGAAGCATTGTGCTAGGTGTCAGATCTCTATTTGAGTAAGAGAAATCTTATGTGCCTTTTCATCCTTTACATCGGCAGAGAAATTTTAAGACACCTATTTCTCTGGGCAGGCTTTTTACAATTAAGAAAAAATAACTAAAAAACCCAGGTTTCCTGGGTATTAGAATAGTGATCTCAGATGGCATCATAGAAAATACACAGCACTCTCTGTGGCCTTGGTGTGATTTGAAACCATCATCTAGAGCATATGCAGTGCAATCTCCTTAAAAGCACAGTAGCTCTGATCCTGCCAGACACAATTCAACAGCCAAAATGATTTTCGATCTGAACCAAAATAGTCATCCTTACATTCTTAAAAGGAAGCAATAGAAGATGATGAAAATGTGGAAGCCTCTTCAGCACTGCCTGTGTTGGTGCCAAGCCTTATTCAGTTTGGAGTGAAACATTCAGCTTTATTCTAACTATTAGCTGTCCTGGCCTGCTGATCTTTGCGAAGGTTCTACTTCTTTCACAGATTGCATTTTAGCTTGTTTCAATACTTTTTTTTTTTTTTTTTTTTTTTTAATTTAATAAATGTTATGCTATAGTTAACAGCTGCGCATTTCAGGCAAGTACAGCAGGCATTTTTGAACTACATCTTTGAATAGGTCTGTCTGGTAAAGAAAATACCCATGAAATAATGAGGCAGTGCAGGAGTACTGCATTCTGACCATCAAAGGGGTCTGCACATACTTTTCCATGTGGTGTACATACTGCACAGGAAACAATTTATGATATGGCAGCATACTTGCGTTGTTCTCAGTTCTTACAGTGAGTGAGAAGAAGAATGGATTCTCTAAATAAAAAGCAGAATGGTAAATTTGTGCTGGTAATTTTTCTACTTTGTTCATAACCTCATAGGATGAGAAAATTTTCAAATTGACAAACTATTTTCTATCAGTGATTTTAGTCTTGGTATGATTGTGAATATTTCATGCATTTATATTTCTTTTCTTTTGAGGCAGATTAAGGTTTTTTTTTTTTTTTTTTTTTTTTTCTTTTTTAATGAAAATTGGTTTCTGGTTTGGGCTTGCTTCATTGAGTTAACCAGTTCCTTACTTAGGCTTCCAGGAAGTCAGATGAGTTCCTTGGGCACTTCACTAAAACATGTGCCTTGGAAAACTGGGCTTCTAAAGATAAAATAAGGGTTTAAAGACTGGATTACAGGTTTTCTTGGAATGGCTAAGAAATTCATACAGTAAGGTTTCTTGTCTGGCAGCTGAACTGGCAAGAGAAGACTGTGCCCATCAAGTCTCACTGGTGGCAAGTCCAGCATTGGAGATGAGCTTATTTTAAACTAGCTTAGTCCAGCTTCCATTTAAATCACTGGCAAAACTCCAGCTATTTTTAACAAGAGAAGAGCTGAGGCAACAGACATACAAAGCCTGATCCCAGACTTGATCCCAGCTTTTCTTATACATCCATGGCTCATGCTGAGTATTGCGGTCACTTTAGTAGGATTAAGAGCAAGCAGACTGCTTGGGCAGATTTATATTGCAATTCTTTGTAAGAAGTACCGATATTGTCCTTAATAAGTAATAAGTTGTCAAGGTAAACTGTCACAGTTCCAAGCCAATTGATGAAGTATAATAATGTCATGTACAATTGGATAAGTACCTCTTCTGTTGTTCCTAGTCATTTTACAAAAACGTATGTCCTTTATTAAAAAAAAAATGTGCAGGGATTTATATGTTTTTTCCAAAGGGGGAGTTGGGGGGGGGGAGGGAGGGGGGTTCAGGCTCCACCCTGAGAAATGCACCAGGCTATCTCTGATTTATGCCTTTCAATATAGTTACTACAAAACCACTAGGAACATACATGTTTCCTTAGGTACCGCAGTAGCTACTATTATATATATGGACAATCCAGTTCCCTGACACTAAATTTGCTGTTGTGTTTGTTATATGTATAATTCAGGCCTCACAGCAGTATTTTGAGGAGAGAAGGGGAACAGGAGGTAACATGTGAGACCCAATTGAGAAAATATACATAAGCAAAAAGACTTAAAGTAGCCCAAAAACAGATGGGTGAGGAGAAGAGCATCCACCGTATAAAGATGAGGTGACAAAATAAGGACCCACCTAGGAAAAGGATTAGCCATTTGTGATATGAACTTGCCACTCTCTGAAAACAGTGGGAAAACTTCCACTGAATTAAACGCCTCAGTCCTTTGCACAGGACTGGTTAGATGCTATTCAGAGAATAATGTATATATGCCAAATAGTGCTGTTTTCATGAGGTGAATTACTTGCCAAATCCATCATCCCGCTGTTTCTTTTCTGTCAGAACTCCTGCTGAAGTCAATGGGAGTGTTGTCTGCATAACATCTTTAGGACGGGGCACAAGGTTAAACAAAATGCATGTGTGGCCGCCCAGGGTCCATCCAGCCTGGCCTTGCGTATCTCCATGGATGGGGCACCCACGGCTCTCTGGGCAGCCTGTGGTTTACAAGTTCAAATGTTCTAAATCAAACTGGGTTTTGTTTTACAAAAAAAAAAAAAAAAAATTAAAAAAAAAAAATGGAATTAAAGAGATTAAAATAATTAATCTCTTGCTATGAACTTGATACGAACAAAGATAGAACCAGCAAAGTGCTTAAAAGATTTGCATTTCTAGCTATTAAAATACAACTCAGACAACTATTGACAACAGTGAGAAACAGCTTCTCAGTACTTCTTACGGGAAAGTGTAATGGTTAAATTAGCTGAGATGGACTGTCCTGTTGCTCTGGGAACACATTAGAAGCATCTTAAGGGTCACAAGGATCCTTCAAGAAATAAGATAACAATAACAGCTTATACCATGCTTGCATGCCTGAAAGATTCTCTTTGTGAGAAATGCCTTGGGATTTGTGTCTCTGGAAATGGTTGTTTCTGTGAGGTGGAAAATAGCTGCTGAGAACACTGCATGCTGAAGGGCACTAAGAGCGCTCAATGGTTAAGCATGCCAGGGCGGACAATGGGATGCAGAAGTGTTCTGACAGCACCCCGGTTCTCGTGGGGGTCTCAGCCCAGGAGGCAGCAGAGGGCACTGAGGAGAGCCCCGGCCCGAGGTGGGGGACTGCGGGTCTCTCGAGCTGCTGCCGGCGGCCGGCCATCTCCCGGGGTCTGTGCTCCTGCAGGTTGTGCTGCGCCGCGGGTACAGCAGCAATCTGAGTCCCAGCAGCAGCTCAGTAACCAGACTACGTCCTGAAAGGACTGTACTTTTTTTTTCCTTTCTTTCTTTCTCTTTGAAGTTATAGAACAGGAAAACGACTCAGAGCTTAGTTGCTAAGTTTTATACATGAAATGTATGGATAGGAGTGTGCCTCTAGGATACTTCTTGATTGCTGTTGATGGGTTTTCTGGACTGATTTCAGAGTTCAGTGCCACTTGGAATAGCCAGCGCGTTCCATGTGCCCCCAAAGTAGGATCTAACAGCTGTGCATTTTTTTAATACAAGCCAACAGTTTGTGCGTGCAGTCAGTACGCGGGGACATATGTTTGCTGGGGCAAGGTTTACTCCGTGTCCCGCGGTACGGGGCCTGGAGCTGCTGCTCACCTCGTGAGGATTCTCTCGTGCCCTCCGAGTCATTCAGCCGGGATTCCGGGAGCGACACGGCACGTCCTTCCTCGCGCTGGGACCCGCTCACCTCCTCCCCCGGACTGCCGCCTGCATCCCACGAGGGAGTGTTTCCCGTAGGGACGGGCCGCTGTAGCCACGCGGCTCTGCCGGCACCCGCTGCCAGGCGCGGAGCTCGGAGGCCGCAGAGCGCTCTGCGAAAACTTCAGCGCCGGAGCTGCCGAGACCGGCCGCGCTCGCGGAGCAGCTGGGCGGGCGCCAGGGCGGGGCGGCGGCGCCGGGCGGGAGGCGGCCTGGGCCGGGGGACTCGCGGCCACCCCCCACCGTCCCCCCCGCCCTCAGACGGCCCGTGCCCCGCAGCGCTGCGGCCCGGCCCGGCCGCTGGGTGCGAGATGGCCTCCGGTAGGAGCCGCGGGCTGCTGTGGCTGTGGCTGCTGGCGGCTGCGGCGGGGTTGACGGCGGGCAGGGCTCCCAGCTGCCACGAAGTTCGGACGGCGTTCCAGCTGCGGCAGATCGGGCCCCTCAAGCTGGTCCCCGACGTGCCCACGGCCGGTCAGTACCGCCCGCACCCTGGGGCCGCCGTTCGGGGGCTGCGGGCGGCGCGCATCTTCCCGGGGTCGCATTCGGGTCCCGCTTCGGAGCGCTGCCGCCTTTGGCCCGAGGGAGGCAGCCCGGGGCTGGCGGGGCTCGGTGCACCGCTCGGTACGCGTTTCTATACAATTCCCGGGGAGGCAGAGAGAGAGAGCGAGAGAGCAGCGAAACGTCTGGGTGTTTGCAGCCTGCAGGTATTTCTTGCTGACCGTCACTGGAAGCACCGGACTTTTTCTTTCCCTTCCCCATTGGCCCCCCTCCGCTTCTTTAGGGCTACTGCGATCCTTTTGCTGAGTTCTTCACGTAGAATCCTTACAGAAATTATCTCTTAGAAGGCAAATTTGTAGCTGAGTTATTAAGGAGTACTTGTTTTGCTGGCCAGGTGTAGAGGTCCTGGGGTCGTAATTTCTGAATTTGGGAGTTTTCTAGCTTGTAAATTCAGAAAGTCAGTGAGAAAGGCGGGAGTAACGCTTTGGAGGGGTGTAATCAGCAGAACTCGGTTTTGCTCTGTTGAGCAGCAAGTCCACAGCGCTTAGTGATTGTGAAAATTGATGAGTAGTGCGATGTTCTTTTTTTTATATATAGTAGAAAAGTTGTACATAGTAAAAGGTTTGTTTTGTAAGTTCTCTCTTGAATTCATTGTAAGGGAGTGATGTGCTTCACTGAGTCAGATGATGTAAATCTTATGAAAGACCATAGATCTATCCGGATAATGAAGTCATTTTCCCGCTTTCCTCATGTTTTAAGAAAAATATTTGCAAGACTGGAACACAAAAGAAAAGGCTGCCAGTCTCTTACAGAACAGTCTGTAGCTGCCTCTGGCTAGCACGCTGCCCATGTGTGTGTGCCGGGATACCTGTCAGTATGAGTTGTTAACTTTGTTTCTTTTCAGATCTTTTTAGAGCACTTCAAGCTTGCAGAGGCTGATGAAAAGAATTCTTCATTGAAATTAGTTTTGGGTGTGTTTTCTGCATTGGTTTCTGTTTTAGGGGTAGGTTTGATAGACTGTTGGTCTGAGCAAAGGCAGCTCCTGTGGCCATAAGCAATTGCGCAGTGCTGGTGATCTTCATCTTCTCTTTGCATAAAGCAGTGCAGATTGCGTGCAGCTGGAAAGTTGTCTATGACTAAGGAGACCTTGGTTTGTGGCAAGAGGATATGAGCAGGAATGGCATTCTGAGGCTTGAATCTTGCTACTGTTCTCTTGTGCTGATGGAGAAATCAGATTGCTTTTGGAGAGCTACGTGTGAAAGCTGGTTAAAAAAAAAAAAAAAAAGAAAAGAAAAAGAAAAAAAGAAAAAGAAAAGAGGTAAAACAAAGCTTCTCATCTACTATGTTGCACTCTTTCCTGAGCTCTTCCTGGAAGAAGTTCTAAAAGGTTTTATAGAATATATAAAAGACTGTAATCAAACTCTAGTATTGGGAATGAAGTGTGGGGAAAACCATGCTCTGCTCTGGAGGAAAGATGCCTCAGAGATGGCTTCATTGCATTCCTTGTGTCATACTGAATTTTCTTGTCGAATAACAAGCTCTCAGAATATAAATGGCAGGAGAGATAGTGAGGGAGAGCAATATCCTTGTAAATTTTAGCTTTCACAAAGAGGAAGACGATTTTTGGAGCAGAACAGAGCTAAGGAAATGCAGTGTGTGTTGATCTTCCCTGTTTGTAAGGTGTATTTAGCTCCAGCAAAGCTCCAGTGTGTTATTGATGCCCCTTGCCAGGCAGCAATGCCTCCTGCCTTATGCCCTCTTAATTAATTCGGTACTAAAGCATTTTCCAGTGTTTCCATCTGGCAGCTGTTATCAGCGAATATACCTTATTCTGTCCCACCAGGCACACAGTAGTGTACTGAGGGCCATTCTAAAAACTCATGACCAGCACACGCATTGGGGTGCTCCTCTGTTCTCATCCATCTGCATGTTGGGTTTCTCAAAAAAAAAAACAAAAAAAAAAAAAAACAAAAAAAAACAAAAAAAAAAACAAAAAAAAACAAAAAAAAAACAGAATTTCTGCAGTCATGTTATCTGTTTACCAGATATTTTCAGTCACAATAGTGTTGAAAGCCCTTGGTTAATTTTAAGCCAGTATTTATTGGCTAACTAGTACAGTGGATCTGGCAGAAGTTAGTCTTACAGATTATTAAATTCTTGTAATCTTCAGGAAAATCAGCAGCTTGGTTGAGGAGGGAGGTTTTCCAAGCTGGACAAGGAGTCAGCAGGCTGAGGCTGGCTGGTGCATAGTTTCTATCTCCTACAGGTGGTGCTTGTTTCACACTTAGTAAAAGTAACTCTAGATACTGAAGAGTTTATAGCCTGCACTCTCTGACCTTAGTGCAGATGCAGAGCTGAAGTCACCTACCAGTGGATCCTGGGTGCCAGCTTCGTGGGGCCTGCCCTCGTTGCACAAGGTCTTGAAGTAATGAGGTCTGAACAGCAGGCCTTGAACCGAAGCTGACCTCCATATGAATCTCACAACCCAGAATCAGTATCCAGTCATTAGCAAAATATATATGATCATTAAAAAAAAAGTGCATCATGGATGAAACATCTCGTTAGCAAGAGCTTGGATAAAGCACTATGAGAATGTATTAACCTTTCCTTGTTTTGAAGCATGGTGTCAAGACCTATGAATACACAAACTTCTTTAGTTCCTCCTTGAGTCCTGGCTTGAGGTAGAATCCAATGGCAGAATGAAAGCAGATGTTTCTGCCTCATTGTCACATAAACTTGTTTATTCAACAGTATAAAAGCTGGATGCACTTGTAGAGGAGACCTTACCTGGGAGTGGATGCACTGCACAGGACCTCCCCGTTGCATGATGATAAAGCAGTGGGGCAACTGGTATATCTTGTAACTGTATCTTTCTTAATCACTATTGCTATCCTCAAGTAGTGATGGTTAGGTGCATTGCCTTGTTCTGTGTTATAATTGCTGTATCGCTTCACTTATTATCTCACTGTTTTAAGCCTAAGTAAAGATAAATGCACTTCTTGAGCTTGGGGCCTGTGAACTCTGTGCTGGCCCTGATGACTAGAAAACAGCTCTGTAGGCAGATTGCTGATCTCCTCCACAAAATGTATTTGCATGGGGAACAAGGAGGATTCCTGTGGAAAAATCCTGTGGAAAATTTGTTCTGTTCTTAAAGCGTGATGTGAACATGGCAGTGGCCTCCCTGAAAGCTGTCACCTCCTGAGGAGAGCTCTTAATGATGCTCAAGAGGTTCCTCTTAAATTCTCTTCCGTAGTTTCACTAAAAGATGTGAGATTTTTCTGTTCTAGTGAAATCTATTCTGTTAACAAGTGCAGGACTAGGAAAGAATAGTGCTTTGACATGAAGTGGAGGGGAAGTCTTAACAACAGGTATCAGCAGATCTCCTTGGTCTGTCGGAAGAACTTTGTTTTTTGCTAGTGGAGCCTGTAATGTATTTCTTGTGATGCTTTTCTTGATCAAACACTGAGTGTTTCAAGGGTAATTTGCTGCAAGTAGCAAACAGATTGATCAGGTAGAGGTACTGCTGCTCTGGCTGGGATTCAGAGGAAGGGTTTTTTGTGTCTTCCCCAAGACTGGAAGTTGAGGTAATAAGCTCCTGGTTTTGTACTTTGATTGTTATAGGCTGAGCAAGCTGGGATGTTTTTGTGGGAGTTCCTAGGTGAACATTTTGATGAGTGAGAATTACATGTTGACTCCAAGGATGAAGAGCTGCATTAATCCAGCCAAGGAACTAAGCCTGTGGTTCCAGAGAGTCTAGATAACTCAAAGCTGATGCTTACCGCAATGCATGGTATTCCTTCCAGACATGGGGCTGTAGTGAGAAATACCCTGTGAACCCTGGGTTGTATTACAGTGTAGCTGCACGTAGGCACTGGCTATGGTTACGGTTCTGTTTATTTATGGGTTTTTCCCTGGCACTGAACACAGGGGTGGCTGACTGTAGGAAACTGGATGAACCCAACCGGGTTCTTGGACTTGTGTGCAATCAGGCAGTGAATTGTAGCTGAGTCAACACAGAAGTAGCCCTTGTTTCTTCTGCTGATCATGTAACCACAAGAAAATCCTCCCTCTTTATGCAGGCCCTATTCTGCCTCTTTTGCTTCTTGGCTAGTATATGAAGAAAACTGTATTGAAATATGTAAGTTGTAGAGAGAAAATTGGGATGACATCTGGTAAGCAAGAAGGATGTCTGTCACTCATAACAGAGTTCCAGGACATCTTTACTCCAGAATGATAATCTTGTTGAGGACAGTTTGCTTCTCATGCTGCTCTTCTGCTTAACAAAGAGTGTTGGCTCTGGGACTCAATTCTGAAGGGCAGATTTTGTCCTGCAAAGTGCTTCTTTGTTTTCTACTGTCATCCAGCACCTTTAAATCAGCAGCACCTTTACATCAGCAGTTCCTTACAATGTGTATATATATGAATACATATACACACTGAATGTTCCATTGCAGAGCTGGACATGCATTACCAATTTATACATGAAATCTGTTTTACTTTGTGTCTTTACAAAAGTGTCCTAGATTCCTACCAGAAGCTCATTGGTTGTGATGCATGAGAGAGACTGTCTCTCAGTCTGTGGCAAAGCTTCTGTCATGAGCATGAGCTAGATCCATTTTTGAATATATCCAAAAATATCTATTAATCTAAACATTTTAAAATGGAAGAGGTTGTATCACACTTTATTTTTCCTGTGTTTTTTTTTTTTTTTTTTCCTCTTATCACTCAGCTCTTTATAATCTCAATGAGAACACTGTAATTCCTCTGGTAATGGTGCAGTGTTGAAACACATTTTGTTCACATCAATATTCTGTCAAAGTCACTCATAAGCCTTGTGCTTACCAGATATGAAAGGCATTTCCTTATTGGCTCTGGAAAGTTTTTGCCACATCAGAAAGAGCAACTAAAAGTCTTTGGTGGGAATAGCAATTTATGCTCAGGTTCCTTTCACCTATGTGTCTGTGCACATACTG